CTGGACCCCTGACCTGCGTGGCTGTGTGATGGGACGCGGACTGCCACCCCGAGTTGGGTTTGGTGACCCTTTTTCTCAAGCCAGCCCTCCAGGCCCAGTTTGTTAGACACAATGTCAATAATGGGTGTGGGCGGCAGTGCCGGCTCTCAGTGCGGTGGCCTGGAGGCTGGGGGCTGGCTGTGAAATGCTAGGCAGACGGGGCTTTCCCTCTGCATCTACGACACACTCAGCCAGCACGAGGGAAAACACCTCTTAGTGAGCGAGGAACAGTGCGGGTGTCCGGGCTCAGCTGAGGGTACTTCCCTGGTCCCCAGGAATCCTGCTCTCCAGAGAGACAGGTGTGCGGACCCAATGACTATGGGAGAGACAGGTGTGCGGACCCAATGACTGTGGGAGAGACAGGTGTGCGGACCCAATGACTGTGGGAGAGACAGGTGTGCGGACCCAATGACTGTGGGAGAGACAGGTGTGCGGACCTGATGACTGACTGTGGGAGAGACAGGTGTGAGGACCTGATGACTGACTGTGGGAGAGACAGGTGGGTGGACCTGATGACTGACTGTGGGAGAGACAGGTGGGTGGACCTGATGACTGACTGTGGGAGAGACAGGTGCATGGACCTGATGACTGACTGTGGGAGAGACAGGTGCGTGGACCTGATGACTGACTGTGGGAGAGACAGGTGCGTGGACCTGATGACTGACTGTGGGAGAGACAGGTGTGAGGACCTGATGACTGACTGTGGGAGAGACAGGTGTGTGGGCCTGATGACTGACTGTGGGAGAGACAGGTGTGTGGGCCTGATGACTGACTGTGGGAGAGACAGGTGTGAGGACCTGATGATCTTTCATGGTCCATGCTGGTGCTGCTGCTCCTGGAAGCGCCAGGACCACAGAGGAGGAAGCGCTGACTGGTTCTGGAGGACCAGGCTCCAGTCCACCCTGGCAGGGCTCGAGGCTGGTGCAGCGCGGAGAAACCTTCCCCCTCAGGAGGCTCAGACAGTCTCCGTTCCATGCAGACCACAGACTGTTCAGCAAAGCCATGGCCCTACAATGCATGTGACACACACTGAAAACTAAAGGCAGCCGTGGTGCAAAGAGGCTGTGGCAGCGTCTCCAGGCTGCGAGGGAGGGTGGCGCGTGCCCCGCCAGGAGGGAAGGGCACGCACCCTCAGGGGCTGTGGGATTCCAGACTCGCCTCTCCTTGCACCCTCCTAGGCCAAGCCCAGGTGCAGGAAGGAAAGAGGGGAGATGCCCTAGTCTGGAGGGCAAGGAGCTGCCCTTTCTGCGCCTCAGGTCTCTGTAAGCTCCCAGGGGGATGTGGGCCTCAGCGCTGCGTCCGGGGGAGGGGGCTTCCTGTGTGAGCCCTGTGCATGGCACAGGCACGGAAATAATTGGCACTAATTGTCCTGGAGTTTACATTCTGATGGGGAGGCAAGGCACGAGGAAGAGAAGCAGGTGGTGTGTTATCCACACAGCACGGGGGGGAAACATTGCTGAGAATGCGGGAAGGTCTGGGGTGAGAGGTAGGTAAGGTCTCAACAAAGAGCTGCCATTCATGCAATCACTTATCACCTCCGGAAGGTGGGGCATGAGCCATGTGGACCTGGGGGAGGACAGGGAGTGTGCAGCGCAGGGCCACAGAGCAGCGGCGTGGTGGGGACAGGGAGCAGAGAGGAAGGGGACGGTGCTGAGAGAGGCGGGCCACGCCTGTGCGGGGCGTGTGGGTCCTTGTGGCCGCTCTAAGGATTCTGCTCCGGCTCTGAGTGAGATGGAAGCCATGGAAGGGGGAGTGGCATGAAATGGCATATCCTAGAGACTCACAGTGGCCGCTGGACTCAGCATGGATGGAGGAGTGAGAGGGGAAGCTGGGAGGCGTGGGTTTACTGTGCTCGTCCGGGTAACAGGCCGTGGAGGCTGGGACATCCTGAGATGAGAAGCTCAAGGCCACCTAACGAGAAACGGTGAGCTGGACCTTGACTCAGAGAGAGACACCAGTGCCTACTGGGCGCCCGCCTAAGAATCTTCCTGTGAATAAAATCTGGAAGCCACTGTGGAAGCTCCCATGGTGAGGAAGGTTACAGAAAGGCTGTGGGTCTCCCCTTGCCGCCTTCTCGCTGAATGGAAGTCGGCGGCTCTTGGCCGCGTGCTGGCCCCGTGCTGGGTGTGTGTTCAGAGCCGAGAGCGTGCCCAGTCTGCTGGTGTGCAGTCTCAGCACAAGGCTGTCTTCCTTGCCTCCTCCCCATGGCTGTCTGGATGCCTAAAAGGCACCTCCTTCCCCGCCTGCGGAAAAGCCGCCTCCTGCACGTCCCCATCACTGATTGATGGCCAGATTACTTGTTGCATAAATAATTTGATTGGCAGCTCTATCTTTTAAGGTCATATTATGATGGCTATCTAAGCTCCTGTATGTATTTTCACAGATAGAAATCCTGGGAGAGGACACCATGACTCTCCCCATTTCGCACCTGTGGGCCTTGGGGCCTTCAGCCTCATGCCAAGTTACAAGCAGCGGGCGGCAGAGCTGGGGTCTGAATCTGGCGACTGGACTCTCGAGTCAGGTCCCTCAGTCACAGCAAACACTCTGTCTCCTGCCTGCGTAGCACATTCGCTTACACATTCCTGCCAAGAGATTCAGGACGCAGAGGAGGTCCTCCAACGCCCTTTCTAAAGGAGATTAAAGTCCGTGTTTATTTTACCTGCCAGTGAATGGCTCCAAGCATTGATAGAAATGGAGTGATCTCTCTCGGACTAATTTTGAGAAAATGATCTGAATGTGAATGATAGTTACAGACCAGTGACTGGTCATTGCTTGGCCCTTCCCTTCCCTGTATTTCTCCTGGTTAGTTATTTTCTCTATAAAATAGTGTCACTCGAGAAACGAGGACTCTTTAAGACCGCCGTGGAGATGTGGAGTGGAATGTCTGTCTCCCGAAATCACTGCTGCCAGTGAGGTATCTCCTGAGGCAAAGCTGGACACGGAGCCAGTCTCAGAGCCCATGCCCCACGTGAGAGGGTGGGGTGGGAGAGAGCACATAGCCAAAAGCCCCCAGGGCTGGCCTGGCTCGCTCACTCACAGCCATGGCTCTCTGGAGTAACAGAAATCTGTTTATGGTGAAACTGCTTAGAGAAGAGGCAAAAGAAGCATAACGAGGATTTCTATTCATAGAAGCAATCACTTCCCAACAGGGGGCACTTGGACAGAGAACACCCAACAGGGGGCACCTGGACAGAGAACACCCAACAGGGGGCACCTGGACAGAGAACACCCAACAGTGGGCACCTGGACAGAGAATACCCAACAGGGGGCACCTGGACAGAGAACACCCAACAGGGGGGACCTGGACAGAGAGCACCCAACAGGGGGCACCTGGACAGAGAGCACCCAACAGGGGGCACCTGGACAGAGAACACCCAACAGGGGACACCTGGGCAGAGAACACCCAACAGGGGACACCTGGGCAGAGAACACCCAACAGGGGACACCTGGGCAGAGAGCACCCAACAGGGGGCACCTGGACAGAGAACACCCAACAGGGGACACCTGGGCAGAGAGCACCCAACAGGGGACACCTGGGCAGAGAACACCCAACAGGGGACACCTGGGCAGAGAGCACCCAACAGGGGACACCTGGACAGAGAGCACCCAAAGACAGCAGGGCCAAGGACAGTGTTTCCTGGCAAGAAAATGTTCTGACAACTCCCCAGGTCACTGTTGTCCCATCCACTGGTTACTACTGTTAAGTATACACATTAGACCTCGAGCTACTAATATATATAACTATGGGGGGGTGTGTGTTGGAAAAAAGCATTTTACATTATTGTCCTTTTTTTTCTTTTCTGCTGAGCATATTTTACTGTTAGGGAAGTGGCCGTTTCCAGGAAATCTCTGCTTGTGACCCCTAAAATCAGACCATATGAGTCATAACGCTCCCCCAAAATCTCGGAACCATTTGATTCCCACTGCTAATTTTAGATATTGCCTTAAGGAAATGTCACTGCCTTTCACTTCAGTGCACCCCAACAGACCAAGAAACCAGCAAAGAGTAAACACACACACATGTGCACACACACACACACAGCACACGTCTATACGATTAGCAGGTAGATATTTATCCTTCAACATGTGCGTGGCACCTGTCCATGCCCGGGAACCATGGACACAGAGGTGACCACACCCACATGTAAACGAGCTATTGTACATGTGGCATGGCTGGTTGGAGGTCAAACAAGGTCAGCAGCCCCAGGTTGGAGGGGACCCAAGAGGGCAAGGCTCCAGGTGTCCGAGCTGCATGCACTGGGGCCAGGACTCGTTTCAGGGAAAGGAGGGGATTTGTGGGGCTGGGCCCGGGAGGAGCCCATTCATCCCCTTCGAAAGGCTCTGAATTTCAGGAGTTTTGGGATTTATACTACATCCATGCGGACACCTCAGAGGAAGCTCTGAAGATAAATGTGAACTATGTGATCAACTGTCAATTCTTTCTTTTCTCCTTCCCGCAGCACACTCTTCCTTTTCGTATTCTTGCTTATCTCTCACTCTCTTTCTTCCACGCCAGGATGAGGCCTGCCCATCGGCCCCTTGTACAGCGCCCAGCACCCACCCCTCAAACCCCTGGCCCCACTAATGAATGAGTGCTCCATCACTCAATGCCTTGCACAGGCCAAGAGCCCACCAACTGAGAGAAAATGTGAGGTTGGGAAAGAGTTCGTGTCCGATGATGTTCTCTGTCCGATTTCTCCTAATCCATGGAGAAAACCTGGACTTTGCCTAGGAAAGTGCAGCCTTGAACCCGAGAGCCACCTTTAAACATTCTGCCAACATAGGAGAGAAGCCGTGCACACAATGCCAATCTCCTCTGTACTGAATGGTTTTCTCTCTTAGTTCCATAAAATTAGCAGAACTTAAAGAACAACAGATGACTCACTAAGCCCCACACAGCTCAGCGCACATTCAGGAGGCGCTGCCCGAAAGCCTGGCCTGAGGGACACGGTGAGTGAGCTGGAAGGAGTCAGCGGTCACCTCCCGGCTCTGGGAAATGCAGGGAGGTGATGGCAGTGACTTCCCCTCCCTGGAGGACGCTGCCAGGAAAGGAAGAATGGCGATTTACATACCACAGCCGGCTAATCCACCCCTAGCCTCTGAGTCACAGCCTGCCGGCTTGAGACATCCCGGGAAATCCCTGCTTGGAAGAGAGGAAACGTTAAAATCGCAGTTGCTGGGCTTGTAACCATTCCGTGCAGCTTGCGTCCTGGCACGCTGTTCCCTTGTAAGGAAGAGACGCTGTCCCTGTTTTCCACGCACTGCGGGCTTTTTGAAACTTTGTATGCTTGGCCTCCCTTGAAACGACATCTCAAGAGCCATTTTCTTTCTTCTTTTCCTTCTGTTCTCCAAGACACCAGGACAGACAGCCCCCCCGGCACACCCTGAGCAGGGCACGCGGAGAATGAGCACTGTGGAAGGCGCCACGGAGCCCGCGGAGGTAAGAGCATGCTCGGGGAGGTGGGCACACCCCAGCCTACAGCGTCTCTAAGGGTGCAGAGATGAACGAGAGTGGACACAGCCAGGCTGCTCTTCAGCTAAGATCCGCTCTGCATTTTAAACAATGCAATGCAGTAAAGACACGAGAGCTGGGAGGCATCGCATTGTCTTTGCCGTCTCTGGGCTGTATTTCTTCCTTCGCTCAGTGAGAGATTAAATCCGTTTCTTCCCAAGTCGATGTGCTTCATGTTTGGCTCTTGATTTAGAAGAACTTGATTCAATGTAAAATTTAGAAAGGATATTATATTAATGTGGTTGGAAATACAATGTGTTATTGCAATAGAGTAACCATAGTAAAATATTAATATACTAGAGGCCCGGTGCACGAATTTGTGCATGGGTGGGGTCCAGCGGCCCCAATGGGGTCCCATCAGGGGCAGGGCCAGCTGGGGGGAGGGGCTTCAGGCAGTTGGCTGACCGTCCGGCCCCTGATCAGGGTGTTGGGGGCCAATTGTGGGCCAGGCTGGACATGGGGAGGGGCCAAGGGAGGACTCCAGGACATATCTATCCCATCCTGCTCATTCCATATTGGCCGGACCCCAGCAGCAAGCTAACCTACCAGTTGGAGCATCTGCTCCCTGGTGGTCAGTGCACTTCATAGCGAGCTGTTGAGCGGCCTTAGCATATCATTAGCACATTACGATTTGATTGGTTGAACGGCTGACCGGACGAAGGGCCACTTAGCATATTAGGCTTTTATTATATAGGATATATTTGGAATTAGTACCATTGTCTTTGTTTGGTTACTGGTTACTACGACAGATATTATTTGAATGAATGAATGAACGAACAAATGTGCTTTCTTGATGTGCTTTTTAAAAGAGATAACCAAGACATCATGGGAAACTATGTGAGACTCATTTGCTCACTTCGGTATGTAACTGAGCAGCACCAGACCTGCCTGGCGCAGGGTGGTCTCGTTACTGTGGTAAGTGAGAGGGAAACACCCCGATGCTCCGAATGGATTATGTTTTATGGGGGATCCTTGTTACATAACTGGGCCCTTAGTAGGACCAATGACGAAAAATCTGCACTTCTTGCAATATCAGATGCCTTCATTAGCAACTGGATAGCAAAGCAAATGTAAATGAAAAGATCCCTGAAACGTTGTTTAATAGGATTTGCTTCATGTGAACACATGCCTGAGACATAGGAACCATGGCAAAGTGTTGGCTAATCTCCAGAGAAGCTTCTGGTGATAATTTATGCTTGTAAGCCATCCCTGTTCCTGTTCTCTCCCCCTCCCTCCTCTCCTTCTCTATTTCTTCCTCTGTCCCCTCCCTCCCTTCTCTCCCTCTCCTTCCCAGAACTGTATCTAGCTTTTCAATTACTCTTATTTATAAAATAAAAATTAAGGATCCATATATTTCATATTTTTTCAGAGAAAATTATATGTGGAGGGGAAAGAATGCACACCATCTGATTACTGTTAACCCAGATTCCCAGAAGGCAGGGCCATACAAATGTTTGCTGATCCCAGTCTTTTTCTATATCGCAGATACAGAGGAGACCCGTACATGTTCCCGGGCATGGTGTGACATGGGAGAACCTGGAACGTTAGCATGAATCCATGTTCCTGGACATGGTGTGACATGGGAGAACCTGGCATGTTAGCACGAACCATGTTTGGGGCATGGTGTGACATGGGAGAAACTTGAACGTTAGCATGAACCATGTTTTCGGGCATGGTGTGACATGGGAGAACCTGGCATGTTAGCATGAACCATGTTCGGGGCATGGTGTGACATGGGAGAACCTTGAACGTTAGCATGAACCATGTTCCCAGGCATGGTGTGACATGGGAGAACCTTGAACGTTAGCATGAACCATGTTCCCAGGCATGGTGTGACATGGGAGAACCTTGAACGTTAGTATGAATCCATGTTCGGGGCATGGTGTGACATGGGAGAACCTGGCACGTTAGCATGAACCCATATTCGGGGCATGGTGTGACATGGGAGAACCTGGCACGTTAGCATGTACCCATGTTCCCAGGCATGGTGTGACATGGGAGAACCTTGAACGTTAGCATGAACCCATGTTCACGGGCATGGTGTGACATGGGAGAACCTTGAACGTTAGTATGAACCCATGTTCACGGGCATGGTGTGACATGGGAGAACCTTGAACGTTAGCATGAACCCATGTCCCTGGGCATGGTGTGATATGGGAGAACCTGGTGTGTTAGTATGAACCCATGTTCGGGGCATGGTGTGACATGGGAGAACCTGGCACAGTAGCATGAACCACGTTCTGTACATGGTGTGACATGGGAGAATCTTGCACTTTACTATGAATCATGATGACCTGTGGGATTTGTGTAAAATAGAGGCGGATAAGTAGGTGGGACACAGAGGAGTTCTGGGCAGTGAAACTACTGTGATGCCACAGTGATACGCCTGTCACTCACTCTGCCTCTGTCCAAGCCCATAACGTGGGAAACGCCAAGAGGGGACAATGCTAACGCACACCATGGCCTGGCGGTGGTGATGTGTCCGTTCAGGTTCACTGGTGTAACAGGTGCCCCTCGGGTGGAGTGGTGGGGAGTCTACACGCGTGTGGGGGCAGCAGGAACACGGGGAATCTCTGCGCCTCCCACTCAACTGTGCTATGACCCTGAACTGCTCTAAAAATAGCCCATTAGAAAGAAAGTAGAGCTGCCCTGGCCCCGTTCCAGAAATGCTGGCTCAGTGCCCACTGCCCTGTGGGTGGCTGGCTCTCACGTGACCCGTGGCTGCGTGAGAGCCTTGGGCCTGGCATTGGCCGTGGCCCCTCTGCTCTGTGAGCTCAGGGCACACTGGACAGGGCTGGCTCTCAGCCTGTTCCTCCCAGGATGCCCAATATCTACTCTGGACGTCTTCCCCCAAAAGGGAAAGCCTGAATGCAGCTCCCGGCACAATTGTCGCCTGGGTTCTGGGGCCACTCTGGCACCGCCAGAGCCACTTGCAGTTGGAATGTCACTTTTAATCTTCTTTCTGTTAATCCTCACCCAAGGATACCCCACTCCCCCATTGATCGTAGAGAGAGTGGAAGGGGGGGGCACACAGAGAGAGAAACATGGATGTGAGAGAGACACATCATCTCATTGCTTACCCTCCTCCCCCTGCCCCCATGTGCCCTGACTGGGGACAGGGATCAAGCCTGCAACCGAGTTACGTGCCGATGCTCGAATTGCTGAGCCAAACAGGCTAGGGCCAGAGTGTCGCTTGTAAAGGCTGGTTTGAGTTGTGCATGGGTCTGAATGGGAAGAAGCAGGAACGTTAAGAGCAGCATCTACAGACCTGCAAAGGGCACCACCCTAAGGCGCCGAGGGAGGCGTGAACAGAGAAGGTGGGAAGGCAGTTCATAAATCATCGCTAAGGAAAGAAGCCCTTGACAGCCCATGACGATTGCGAAAGGGCATTTCCTGGCTGTCTCCGGAAGGCCAACGTGTTCTGAATGCGTTTCTTAATCGCGCCTGAATATCTTTAAGCAGCTTTGTGGTCCACGGTAACTTGAGCCTGAAACCCAACAGCAGATTTAGGGACTATCGCCGAAGCATGTATCACTGCACAGAGCTGAGCCAGTAGCAAGACTGCGGAGGGAGTGCCTACATCATCATCCCTGGGGCGGAGGGCAGGCCATTCCTAGAGCTGCTGCGCTTTCTTTAAACGAAAACTCCCAGCCCTGGTCAAACAACAACAAACGACCCTGACAATTTGTCACGTAGTGTCTCTATTCAAAGGGCTGGTTAAAATGACATTATCCCACACGTTCTACGCCCACCCCGCCGCTATAACGTATTGTATGATGGCCATTGAGGTAGCTGACTTCCTGTTGTTTTATAATCAACTTTCTGCCCTTTAACCATCTGTGCTGGTCTCTTTTCTCGCCGGTTCCCTCAGACCTCTGACCTGCACCAGGGCCGCCCTTCAGGTCACGGACACACCTACAAACATGCTTGTTCAGGAATGTTCCCGTGTAAATGCCCGCCTGCATCCATGAGACGTGTCAGGTTTCTAAGTGCATTTTTTAAAAAATAATTGAAGTCCAAGGTCATAAAATCCTAATTTCTTGATTGCCTATTCCATAGATGCTTTATAATTTGCTAGAGAATTATTTTATGTTCATTTATATAAGGATTCCAAGGTGGATGTAAGGCGTATGCACCAACAGGCCCCTTGAAGGACTGTGATGCGAGGATCGCTGCTGCTAGAATAGAATTGTTGTATAAGTCGCGGCATGGGAGTTTGCCAAATGCGTGGAGTTTGTGAAGGACAGTATTTTTCCTGTTTATTTTTATAGTCTATTTTGTTTCACTTTTTTTTTTTTTCAAGTGTGCTGACCCATCCAGAGGAAAGAGCTCGACAAATCCTCTTGAACGAAAGATAAGGTGCCTGGAAAAACAGAGAAAAGAGGTAACTGTGAGTTGAATCAACATGCGCCGTGGATTGGGGCTGAGAATAACACAGAGAGTGTATCACCCGGATGCACCTTTCATTTTGTTACGGGGTCACAGTCACTACCGCTAGGGCAGTGATGGCGAACCTTTTGAGCTCGGCGTGTCAGCATTTTGAAAAATCCTAACTTAACTCTGGTGCCGTGTCACATGTAGAAATTTTCTGATATTTGCAACCATAGTAAAACAAAGACTTATATTTTTGATATTTATTTTATATATTTAAATGCCATTTAACAAAGAAAAATCAACCAAAAAAATGAGTTCGCGTGCCATAGGTTCGCCATCACTGCCCTAGGGGCTGGACTTCATTAGGGTGAGAGCAAGTGCTTTTCTTAGTCACCTACTTATCTCCTACTTGCTCTCTCAGTACAAATGAATGGCAGTCATAAATCCCAGGATGATAATCTTAATTTTCTTTAAACTTAGAGCTTATCCCCTGTACCTGTGTCCTTGCAACCTGACACACTGTCCCAGGCTTTAACTATAGCTGGCTTAGGTGCTACGATTTCGTGACCTGGGGTCCGACTGACAGGGGTTGAGGAGTGGTACCATAAAGAACGTTTGCTTCTCAGGTGTCATCGGGAATGTGACGGGTACTGTGTTTTTGAGTTCTGAATTTCTGAGTTTAATGAAGGTTTGAATCTCTTCATTCTTCTCTGCCGGGGTTCTTGTTCCAGCATCAAGAAGGGCTCAGGAAATCTGGAGAAGGCTGTGCGTAGGTTAAATAGTCCAGGGGTGAAGCATAATTTTGAAAGGCATTTGGGGGTCAGAGGAGCTTAGCTAAAGGAGCTAAGTTCTAAAGTCTAAGGTCTTAAGGTCTAAGGTCTCCTCGTCTCAGGACCCCATGCTTTTTATTAACACAACTTGTCCTGAGGTGAGGCAGAGATATACACTTCAAAGGGTCAGGGTTTCGTACAGAGTCCATTGTCAGATGGGGGGAATTAGCTTACGGCTGTTCAGGTGTTTGGCCAGTAGGAGGCAATAACATGTCGATTAAGATGCCCTGAGCCAGTGGTCGGCAAACTGCGGCTTGGCAAACCGCGGCTCGCAAGCCACATACGGCTCTTTGACCCCTTGAGTGTGGCTCTTCCACAAAATACCGACTTCTGCGCATGGGGCACGAAGTTTCAATCGCACTGTACGTGCCTGCTCCCACGTGATATTTTGTGGAAGAGCCACACTCAAGGGGCCGAAGAGCCACATGTGGCTCGAGAGCCGTGGTTTGCCGACCACAGCCCTGAGCTGTCTGGCAGCCAAGCAATCATCCCTTTTCAGGTTTGGGGAAATGCCATCAGCCATTCCCAGATGCAGCCCTGCTGTTATGCTGGCATTGGTCTCCGGCACTTCTCAATGGGGGGGTGGGGGGGAAGAGGTGAAAAAAGTAGCAAGTGTAGCACCGTGTATGTTGTCAATTCTGTAATTGCTCCCCTAAACTGTTCCGTGTATGACATCCTTCCTGCTGCTCCTCCGTGCCCTCTACTCCCTGTGGTGCTGCATAAAATACCAGCCCCCCGGAAATCCGAGCCACAGCGAGGCACGCTACCATGGCTACCATGGCACAGAAGGCCGATCCCTAAATGCCAAGAGTTCAGGTGTATACTCTCACAAGAAGTGCCCACCTGTGTTCCCAGCATAAGAATTACCTCGTAGCTGCCATTCTGGATTAGATAGTTTGATTTGCAATCAGGAGAAAGTCGTGCTACTTTTTAGCCATGTGGCTGTTTTCTGCATGGATGTCTGCTGGTGGTTGCTAGAGTTTCTCTGCATCGGGAATTTGCACATTCCCGTTACAAGAAAACTTAAAACACAGGTCATAGTGTCTGTTCCTTCCTTCTATGTAGCACATAGTTATTTTTTTAAAAAAAAAACTTTCAAACTGCTTGCCACGTAAATTATTTCTAAATATTGTCTTATGACAAAACTATTATTCCTCGAAAATCTATACTTGAAAAAAGTCATAGTATCCATTTGTTGATCCATATTACAAATCACGTGTGGATTTTTAAAAAGCCCATTATTGCAAGCAAATGATACTCAGTTAATGGGTTTGGAATTTGTTAGTATAAACTCTGCTTTTAAAAAAGCTGGGAGAAAGATTTCATTATAATAATCAACATAAGCACATAGAAACATAGGGAAAGGTTTGAAAAAAAAGACCTTTCATATTTTAATGAATCTTACAGAAAACCCTCAATACTTAGACATTCTTACCAGATTCCGGTTGGATTAAACAAAGATAAAAATTCACGAAACTAAGCCACGCTAACGGTGCTAATAACACGGTCGGTGGACTGGCCAAGACACGCCGACGGCGACAGCGTTTCGAGAACACCGCCTTCCCCCGGGTTTCCAAAACCTCAGCAACCTCACACGGACTTCCTGCTGGCCAGACGTCCACACGGGCAGACCCTTTGCTGACTCACCACGTGTTCACGGTTGCAGCTCCTGGAGGTGAACCGGCAGTGGGACCAGCAGTTCCGAAGCATGAAGGAGCTGTACGCCGGGAAGGTAAGCGCCTGCCTGTCCCGGATCTGCTTCCAGCCAATCACTGGGGGAGCCAATGGGGTGCTGGGATCCCAGGGGCGGGACTGGTGCGGAGCCAGCAGCTGAAGGAGGGATGCTGAGGGCACGGCTGCCCCTGGGCCCTGGAGGTGAATGCCCGCTGTCCGTGCCTGGTCTTGGCAATGGCTCACATCCCCTCTGGAGCCATCGCGGGAGTTCTCACGCACTTGTATTGGGGCGCATGGGGCACCTGGCCCGGGTGACAGGACCAGGGCCACAGACACGCAGCTTACCTGTGGGTGAGGTCAGTCTCAGGTGCACCCGTGTCACGCCAGGCCAGCTCTCCGATTCCCTCACTGGTCGCCATGGCGACTCTGCACAGGGACACAGTGGCCCCAGGGGAGACGACAGGTTCTTTCTCAAGCAGTGTTTGCTTTGCTGTCAAGAACTTTTTTGGAGAAAATATCTTTTAAGAGGTCCAAGTCAATGTAGAGTTTAACATCCTCCCACAGCACAGCGAGGAAGAGAGTGAAGCCCCTGGTAACTAGAGTGCAGAACCCGACCCGAGAGCACAGTGCGGGCGGGCAGGCGCCCTGCGGTCCTGAATCCGGGAAAGCGTGGGGGCCGCCACACTGAAGGACATGATCTGAGCACGTTTATGCTGCGTCCGAGTGGCTGGTGGGAGCGGGAGAGGGTTGGGGAGGTGCCATTCGCCCTCCCGCCCGGGAGCACCTGTCCTGCGGCCCCTCACTGCCGTCCGCACTCAGGGCTACAGTGGCCTGTGCGGGTCAGGCTGTGGGTTAGACGGGGCAGCGTTCCTCCAGGCAGACACCCCTGCCCCGCCGGCCACTCCTGGACAGTTGGGGGTGGAAGGCCAGGCCCAGAGGTCCCATCTAAGCTCTAACTGTGCCCTGGGAGGTGGTGAGGTTGGAGCCAGGAGGGAGGCTGGGGCTCTGGTCGGGGATGCAAATGCCCCGGCCTTGGTCAGGGCGTGGGATGGACCTTGTGTGGGACCCCCAGGAGCGGGGCCTGGTTGTCCCTTATTTGCTAGCTGAGAAGGCCCGGGGGTGTGGGCTCCAGTGGGGGCAAGAGGGGGGTCTGTAACCCTCTGTGCCGACCTCCCCAGCTTGCAGAGCTGCAGACGAAGCTGGAGGCCACAGAGCGATTCCTCAGCAGCCTGGAGAAGGGACGGCCAGCGAGCCCCAGGGCCAGCGCTGGGCCCGCGGACCTGGCCCAGGAGCCGCAGCAGAGAGAGGAGGTGGGTGTGGCCTGGTGACCCAGCCCGGGGGGGTGGGGGGGGCTGAGGACATGGGGCAGGGAAAGTGTGAGAGTGTGAGGGAGGACAGTGATGCAAGTCACAGGGCCACAGACGGACTCTTCTCAGGACCCAGAGGAAGGACAAGGCCACGTCCTCTGTCCACAAATGGGCAGGTGGACCCTGAACCACGGAGCTGGGGGCATCTTTCTGGGGCATTTCAGCCTCAAAAAAATTTAGCTTTTTCTTTCTTCCTTTTTTTTTTAACTCATATTTAACAATAATATGACAATACCTTGTATTGGTACAGCTGTTTTTCAGTTTACAGAGAGCTTTACAAATAGGTATTATTTTTTAAATATATTTTTACTGGTTTCAGAGAGAGGAAGGGAGAGGGAGAGAGAGAGGAGAGGAGAGGGGGAGAGAGAGAGAGAGAGAGAGAGAGAGAGGGAGAGAGAGAGAAACATCAATGATGAGAGAGACTCATTGATCAACTGCCTCCTGCACACCCCACACTGGGGGATCAAGCCCACAACCCGGGCATGTGCCCTGACCGGGAATCGAACCGTGACCTCCTGGTTCATAGGTCAACGCTCAACCCCTGAGCCACACTGGCCGAGCCAAATAGGTATTATTTTTGAAATCAGAAAAATGTAACATTTGGGAAGTCCCTCACCCTCCTTATCTCATCTGGCATTCCCAGCTCACCTGGGAAGAAGGCGTTACTTCTGCCCTTGGCAAGTGGAGACAGCTGAGCTGTGCAGAGATCAGGCGACAGGCTGATGATGATCGCTTAGGCCTGGGAGCGGGAACTTGCTCATTCGCGGGCCCGTCGCCAAGTGAGATCAGGGACTCTGATGTCTTGTCTGAGAGCACACAGCTTCCCAGCATGAAGGATAAGAGAAGGGTTTCTTTGATGCTAGCCCGCCCTCCACCAGGGAGCAGGATCCAGTGGGATGGACGCCCTGAGAGTCCGGGGCCTGGCTGTGGGGAGTCCGCGTCTGCCTGCCGGTCCGTCGGTCATCGGAACAGCGCTGACTTGGTTTTCTCGCTCTTCCCTTCAGAAGGAAAAGCAGAGCCAGAGCGAAGAATTACTCGCGTTGAAGAAAGAAAACAAGCTGTTGAAGGAGAACAATGCTGCCATGAGCAGGAGGCGGGAACATTATGAATGTGAAATAAAACGTCTTAACAAGGTACCAGGCGGGCCGGGCTGTGTGAGGGGCCCTCCTGGCGAGGCCCACATGGCCCGCGCTGCAGGGGCCCCCGGGCCGGGGCACAGGGGCGTCTCTGTGACATTGCACATCTCTCCTCCCGGGCTGGCCATGAGGCTTTGGGCATTCGTGTCCCTGCAGAGACTCCTCATGGAAAACCAATGAGGAGGAAATCTGGAGGAGAGGCAGGACGGTGTTTAGTTGGCAGAGCCACAGAGCAAGCTGGTGCTGGGAGCAGCCGCCTGCTTGAGGGTCAACCACAGGAAGCAGGCTGCTCTCAGCACCCTCGTCAGGACTCTGGCGTGAGGCTGATGAGGGAGGGGGTGCGTGCGTGTGTGTGTGTGTGTGTGTGTGTGTGTGCGTGTGTGTTTTATGGGGTAAGAGCTTAATTTTCGGGGGGAAAGGATCAATGAAATGCTTTGCTGTTGACTTTTCAAGGGCCATGTCATATGTGGACCGGGAGCCCTTGCAGTACACAGTTAAGTTGAGACACGCATCTCTCAAAATACTAGAAATGGACCAAAATCATAGACATTTTCTTCCTGAACAGGATTGGTGGTTGGCCCTGAAAATGCCTGGATTGCAGACTGTGCTTCCTGCCGCGGTTAACTGTGACCAGGGGTGTCGTTTAAAGCGGCGGTCGCCAACCGGTGGTTCGCGGGCCACTGGTGGTCCATGAGGTCTGAAAGTTGGCGACCGCCGCTGTAAAGTTGGGAGTTAACATGGGCCCGTGTCATTAACAGAGCGCACAATGGGCGGTGACCTGCTTGTTGTCCAAGTCTCCATGCAAACAGGAAGGGGCACTTCCAGAGCCACGGGGGCTCATCCCTCTGTGTTTTTTCAGGAAGGGAAAAAACTGGCATCCGGCCCAGCAGCATCAGCTCTGGGGGGGCAGGGTCTCAGGCCCCAGCCCCGACCTGCTGACCCAGGATCTCTGGAGGCAGCGCCCAGGGGCGGGCACGTCTGCTGCCTTCGGGGGAAGCTGTCCCTCAATTCTGATCGTTATTTGACTGAAGCAGAGACACTAGAGCAGTGGTTCTCCACCTTCTGGCCCTTTAAATACAGTTCCTCATGTTGTGACCCAACCATAAAATTATTTTCGTTGCTACTTCATAACTGTAATGTTGCTACTGTGATGAACCGTCATGTAAGTATCTGATATGCAGGATGGTCTTAGGCGACCCCTGGGAAAGGGTCGTTCGACCGCCAGAGGGGTCGCGACCCACAGGTTGAGAACCGCTGGTCTAGAGAAAGAGAGGCTAGAGAAGGAGCATAGATATGCTGTCCTTTCGCAGCGGGCGAGGTGGAGGGGCTGCCACAGCAAAGCCTTCAGAATAGCAATGAGGGTTGACTAACAAGCATCATCATGGAGAAAAGACAGAAGTGCCCAGGCCAGGAAACCCGAAGTCATTCAGTCATGAGAGCGGCATCCAAGAGGGAACGCTGCCTTTGGGTGCCGGGGAGACGATCACGGTAACTGTCACAGAAATGCAGACCATGTGCCTCTCAGGTCAACGATGTGCTTGTCTTGCAACACAGGCTCTTCAGGAGGCCCTGAAGGTCGAGTGCTCTCCGCTTCCCGAGGCCCGTCTGGGGGGGCCTGAGGCGGGGTGCGGGCACGAGGACATGAGGACAGAGATGGAGGTGCTCAAACAGCAGGTGAGGGGCTGCAGGGGCGTGAGCACGTGGAGAGGCTGGGCCGGAGGTCCGGCGCCCTCGGGCACCTGTGAGAGTCTGCTATTCAGTGTGTCAGAGAGAATCAGCTCATTTCGAAGCTTCTGGGCAGAATCCAGAACACGGCACCTCAGGCTGTTAGCAGAAGGACCGAGTCGGATGGGTTCAGAGGCTTGTCCCAGGTCACACCACGACCCTCCTGGCGCGATGCTGTGAGCTTCAGGGAGGCCTGCTTTATTCTGCAAACAGCATGAACCGGATCTCGGGCCGTCTCGTCTCAGACAATGGGAACAACTGGGCTGTGGTTTTGCAGCTTTTGGCTTCCGGGCTTTTGAACAACGAGGGTGGTTTTAAAGGGAATAATACTCCACACTGATCACCTCACCAAGGGGCTAGACCTGCTCCTCCGCCCTCACACAGGCCCGCCTCCTCCCCACTCACCTAGCCCCACTCATGGCTGCCGAGCCTTAAACATTAATATGTACACCTACACGGGAGTCAACATGAGATGTTTAGCTTCTTCCTCTCTCGTCGGTTACATTTTGTAGTCTTACAGACTTAAACTTGACGGACCACCAGGTAAAACTCATTGCCTGTTGGGGATGAAGGTATAATGTGCATGAGTGCTAACAGACAAAGTTCTAACGACCAGGTTCCCATATGCGTTGCAATTTAAGTCATGGTCTTGGAGGAATCCCTTTGCCTCATTCCCGAAGCTTCGTTTGCTGTTTCCTTAGCTCCACGTACTAGCCGTCCAGCCATTAGTCAGCACCGAGCCAATGAAAAACAGCAGCAATTAAGTCCGCTTTTCTCTTTGGTTTGCTTACTTTTCTGGAATATTTGGAGCATCTCGGGAGAGCTGTTCCACTGAAATATTGCTACGTTTCCTTTTCTGTAATTTACCTCCACAATCGCCTGTGGAAACCTGGGGACGATCATGCTTTGATTCCCCACATATGAGACTTCCGTCTCCAGGCTGTGCTCACCTTGTCACTTCTGTTCGCACACAGCATGTCAACACTTAGTGTCTCAGTGGTTGTTAGCAAACTTCTCTCAGAACTGCACGCAGGTGCCACACGTCTGAGCCCTGAGCCGGGGAAGGTGGCTTCTCTAAACGGTCACACTTACTGCGGGAAGAGGTCACCACAGCCATCCAATAGGCAGCAAATAATGACCGAGGACAATGCTTTTCAAAATATCCATGTTATGACTCTACTTCTGAACCCATGGATTCAGGAGAAAGTGGAGAAGGGCCAGCCATTCTATGCAGAGAGAAAGATAGAATCGCAGTCACGACAGCCCTGCGTGCTAGGTGTAGCCCCGCCGCGAGGAGACGGTCGCGGGAGGGAGAAGGAACACGCAGACGGACACCCCCGAGCCCCGCCCTGAGGAGAAAGGAAGCGCGGTAACCGCGGCGACTGTCTCCCAGGTGCAGATCTATGAGGAAGACTTCAGAAGGGAGAGGTCGGACCGAGAGAGACTCAACCAGGAGAAAGAGCAGCTGCAGCAAATGCACCGGACGTCGCAATCCCAGCTGAACCAGCTGAAGTCCGAGGTACACGTCAGGGCGAAGGGCCTTGGCCCGCATGTCTGTGCTGCCCGTTTACCCTCTCCCTTAAGGCAGAACGCGAGGCTCTGGGGCTTCTGGTATTTGACGCTGAATTTTTCTGAGAGGTCAGCACCGGGGATGAAACGATTCTTAAACCATCTTGTGAGAAATTGGGAATAACTGGGTATTTCTTTTAGCGTTAAGTGTAGCGAGGATTCCCCAGCAGCTGGATGCCAACGTTCTTTTCTGACTTCTAATTCTTTTGATCTTTTCCTCCTGATATTTATTTTGGTCGCCTGGGAGCTGGCCTATCCAGGACTCCCAACTCCAACCTGAAACTCCCCGGGGCAGTGACGTTGTGTCCAAGTCCTTGTCACGTTCTGTGAAGGGCCGAGTGGAATGTCCCCATCTTCCAAAAACAGGCCCGTTGCTAAGTGTCATTGACGTGTCTGTCTGGTGGGACCGAGGCGGTCCCTCTGGGGGCCCCAGGGTCACTGTGACTGGAGTATTTGGGAAGCCGGTGATGTGAGCCAACTCGTTGGAATAGGGTCTGTTAATGTGAGCTGCTAAAGTGAAGCGTGATCCGCTATATTAAAAGCAGACTCAGGAAGCCACCATGATGGGTAAACGCTAATGTGAATGGAGAAAATGCAGGGGACACAATTCTGGCTTAAGAAAGGAAAACGCACTACGAACTATCTGACACTGTTCAGGACGTGCCCGGGCCCCTGTGGGACCGGACACTGTGGCCGCCCCAGTTCCGTCCAGTGAGTACCAGAAGCTGTTCTGTGTCCACACCCACATCTGCGCCTCCCCGCTCCTCCATCCAGACGGAAATGTACCCCCTCACGCTGAGAACTGTAAGGGCCCCGAACACACTGCAATAACAGCGTGAACGGCCCACGTCCCCAGCCCTCAGGCGGGATTTCCGGGACGGAGCCCAGGCGTGTCCGGAAAGCCCGACGCCCGCCTGGTCTCCCCGGCGCCTCCGCTCCGTGGGCCCCGCAGCCCCCGGGCGTCCCCGAGAGCTGGTCCCTAGCAGCGTCAGGAGGAGCCATCGGACCCTTTCTGACAGGCAGGTGCCTGTGCTTTGTCCACAGGTAAAAGCATGCCGGCTGGAGCAAGAAAGGCTGGAACGGCAGTTGGAACAGGTGCGTGGCCGCCCACTGAACTCCCCAAGCCTCTCAGCGCCCCCCCCCGTCTCCCCCCCCCCGCCCCTGCGCTCCCCCATCCCCCTAGCCCCTGCGCTCCCCGGGAGGCAGCTCCCCGAGGCCAGTCTCAGGGCCTCCATGTCCCCACGGGGCCCGGCAGACCTGTGCTCACTGTGGCCGAGGGCCGCGGAGAGAGCGTCAGGGACCCCCAGCCCTGCACACATGAGAAACACATGCTCTGCCACACGTGACGAAGCCCGAGCCCGTGTGTTCTCACAAGGAGTCCTGTGCAGACCACGGCCGCTGGGCAAGCCCCTCCCTGTGGCCCTGCAGTTGCTGACAGTTTACGGTGGGAAACTACCACTGAGATGTCCACCTCTTTGGGGGAATAGGGCCCCCTCTCGGCCCCCACACTGTCCTGTCCCCCACGGCTGCCGTAGTCCTCTACTGCTTCCTCTCTGACTAGCTGAGCCCAAGGGTGTCGCCTCAGGTAAGAGAACTCCCTAGAGCGCAATGCGCGGCCCTTCTGTGAAGACAACTCCGTGAAGTTAACGCTAGCTACCTCTCAAGTCTTGCTAATTTCTTCAAAATTAGAAAAATAGCAACTTCACCTTAAGTAAGTCGGCTGTGAGCTCATCTGTGTCGGTCCGGGGTCCGACCTCCTCCTGCTGTGACAGAGTCAGGCTAACCCTGGCCCGTGTGGCTCCGCTGTCGAGCATCGTCCTGTGCACCAGAGGGTCACGGGTTTGATTCCTGCTCAGGGCACATACCCAAGTTGTGGGTTCAATCCCCGGCCGGGTCTCATACAGGAGGCAACAGATCCAAGTTTCTCTCTCACATTGATCTTTCTCTTTCTCTTCCTTCCTCCCTCTCTAAGATCAATTAAAAAAAATAAAAAAGACTACCTGGCCAGTGTGGCTCATTGGTTGGGTGTTGTCCTGAGCACCAACAGGTAGCAGGTTGGATTCCTGGTCAGGGCACATGCCCGGGCTGCGGGCTCAGTCCCGGGTTCGGGGTGTACAGAAGGCAGTTGATCAACGTTTGGCTCTCACATCAATGTTTCTCTTCCTCTCTCTCCCTTCCTCTCTCTCTAAAACCAATAAATTAAAAAAACGAAAAACTGAAACCAAACCATGTGACTGTAAAAGCAGGTGTCAGGGTGAGGCCCCGCTGCACCCACTCCAGTGACCGACGGCCTTGTCTCCTCAGATGCGCATCCCGGCCTGTCGCTGCAGCCTGGGTCTCCACCTGCCGGACGCGGGCGCCCCCGCCGGCCCCGGGGCTGTGCCGGACCTGCCGAGGCTCCTGGTGAGTAAGCCGCTCCCGGCCTGCGGGCTGGCCCAGCGTTCTGCTGCCCTGAAATCAGCCCGTCTCTGGAATGTGGCGTCTTAGCTCCGCCCCCAATCTGCAGAGTGACAGGGGCCACACACACTGTCACTGACTTGCCACAGAGACACAAACATTCGCTGCAAGGTGCCCCATTGAGCTCCGATCCCTTGAACAAACACACGGCATGTTAGATGGGTCGTTTTCAATGCCAGACCTGATTCTACCAAGAAGACATTTTTATGGATGTTAACGGAAAATAAAAAACACATTGAAACCTGTAAGGAATTTTTTTTTTAAGATACATTTTATTGATTTTTTACAGAGAGGAAGGGAGAAGGATAGAGAGTTAGAAACATCGATGAGAGAGAAACATCGATCAGCTGCCTCTGCACACCTCCTACTGGGGATGTGCCCGCAACCCAGGTACATGCCCTTGACCGGAATCGAACCTGGGACCCTTCAGTCTGCAGGCCGACGCTCTATCCACTGAGCCAAACCAGTTAGGGCTGTAAGGAATTTTTGTGAGTTTATTTGAGCCAAACTGTTGACATATGCTGGGAAGCAGAACCTCAACACATTGAGATAATGCTCCGGAGAATGGCGGGTTACATTTGTATTTATACATTTGCAATCAAAGGAGGGGCATAAGTGGGTTACATGAAATCCATTGGTGATAGATTAAGGATGTGGGATAAAGCAAAGCAGGGAAACCCCTGGGATTGGATAAAAGTAAAATGATGGACACACACTTAGGTGGGTGCAGGAACAATTAACATGATGATGAAGGAATTTGTGGCATCTGTCCTGGCGCCCAGCACATTTGGTTGTGCCCCAGGGGCTCCAGAAAAAGGGAAGTTACAAGTTACCCAGACACTTCAAGGGTATGTTATCATAAATGCAAAAAGACAGACAGGCTCAGTTAAGGTAAAGGTTGACCTTGTCAGTGAAGATACCGGCCTAGGACGTAACTGCCCACCATCACTGCTTTTAGTTAAAGTTTAATTTCAGACCATCCTTTGTGGTGACTTTAGGTCTCCGAGTTTGCGAGACTGCCATGCAGGCCTCCCCTGAGCTTGTCAGGTCAGCCTGTGGCCCCTTCCGTCCACATGTACAAAGAAAAGCAAAAGGAATAAAGCAAAAATCAGTTCAAGAGACGGCCTTTTCCATTGTCAACTTAGGTTGAACTACTGTGGACAGCGCTACATCTGGGCAAAATAGTTTTTGACATTTTCCAATTGAAAGGATATTCTTAAAGGGGCCAAGAAAAAGCGACCCACTTCCGTGGCTCTCCACGCTGTGTCCACCCAGACGGATGCCTGGACAGCCTGCCTGCATGTCAGCCCAGCACCCTCCCTGCCTCTAGTCCCAGATTCCACCGCCCTCCCCTACGCCCTCCATCCTGCCCGCACAGACTGTCTTCACACAGGGAGACAAAAGATGCATTTTTCCGTGTTTTGCATTTGGTCCAACCACTCCCCTCTCCCGCTGCTTTTACTATTAATGGTGCTTCTAATTTTGCAAAGAGTCTGAGGCTTAGCTGGGTTTCCCCAGCGGAGCACCCACAGAGAGCGGGGCCCTCTGAGGCCCATACTTCAGCATCTGAATGTGACTCAAGCCCTTTCACAAGCGTGGGAATCTTCAAATGCAGCTACGATTCCTTAAATACTTTTCAGAGAAGGCAGAAGTAAATTAATATGGCGGCAACGATAAAGAAATAGACATTTACTTAGATGTTAGCTCCCACAGGTTAAGGATTTGGAAGACTATTTCTGGGGTCGGTTGACTGTAAAACCAAAGAATCATCCAGGTTTATCTGGAAGTAAAAATGGCTGTTTTCTTCACACCTTCACTCATGCACAGGAGGGAGAAGTCCTCCTGTCATAAGAGCTCGTCAAACTTTCCCCGTCGACGACAACAGAGAAGGCGGCCGATCATGTGAAATTACCCCCCTAAGGCCTGCATTTGGGAAAGACGCCACGCCGTGTGTCCCGCCTGCATTTCCTAGCAGCGCTTGTGCAAACAGAATTTTGGCGTGGCGGCAGGATTCGCCAAGACCCGGAATTCGTTTTAAGAGGCTGCTCCGTGCTCGTTTCCGAGCCTGAGTGGAAGCAGGTGCGAGCGCGTTGGTGCAATGACAGCGCGTTCGCCCGCGTTGGGCACCTCCGCTGGCCTGTGAGGCTGAGGCTCATCCCCTGACCCAGTGCATCACCGAGGCAGCTCGACATAAACGAGCCGACGAAACCAGAGGCGATCCATTTCCGCCCCAGCTTTGTGTGCAGGAAGGGAGCCAAGGGCCGAGGTGTCCGAGGGGGTGCTGGGCGGGGGTGGGGGCAGGCTGTGCTGAGCGCAGCTTTCTGGTGTCTTGTCAGGGACTGAGTTTGGGGCTACCTCCAGTGGCCGGGCTGCCCTGCCAAGCTCCCCGTGGCTCTGGGTCGGAGCAAGCCCCCCAAGGTCTCTCCGAGAGGTGACGGAACTAGGGCAGGACAGGCGTGTACGCGGGGCCTGGGCAGGACGCAGGCTGGCACATGGAGCAGAGACAAGCTGCCTCGCGGGCAGGTCTGGCTCGGGTTGCCGTGCGGAGCGGTGAAAAACACTGGGCTGGGAGCTCATCTTGAACCCGGCCGACCACAGGCCGATTAAGGAAGGCAGTTCGTGTGACGTGCTCCCTGATGCTCAGCACTTAGCTGCTCTGAGCTGGCGGGAACTCGGGACACGTCCCTGGAGAGAAATCCAGGTCTGCACTCTGGCCTCTCCAGCCTGACACACCTGGGCACGTGGGCGGGTTCTCGGGAACAGTGGGGGCGCCCAGCTGTCCTGCCCCCCACCCTGAGCCCCCAGGGCCCGGTCCTCCCTCCACAGCTCAGCGTTCCCCCTGGATCCACCGGAAAACACCAAACTTGTCATTTTTCTCTCTGGTCTTCCTGCTGCCTCCTGTGTGAAGTTCTAAAAAGAACTTTTCTTTTGTTATTTGTTGATAGGAAATGGCTTTGTTTAATTTATGGGCTATAGTAAGTTTTACAGAAGTGTTTATACTTCGGCAGACAGCCAGACACATCTGAACACATCTGTCTTGGAAAAAGAAAATGTGCCACAACCCCAGGGCAGTCACATCTGGCCTTCCACGGGTGGACTGTGGGGGTCGGGGGGGGGGGCGGGAGGGGGCCCAGGTGCTGAGGGAGCCTCAGAGATGAGCGGGACCGCCAGCGGGTCAGGTAGAAGCTACCTTGTGCAGCCTCGTCACCCTCTGCACGCGCCCCTCTGCGCGTGTGACCCACACGCTCTAACCAGGCTTCCTGTCCACACAGCCAGACCGCCAGCGGGGTGCTCCGGGCCGGCTGCCCCCAGACGCGCAGCACGCAGCACACGGTAAGGCCACAGCTGCTCCGCACGTTCTGTCATGTTTGCGTCCTAATGGGGCCTCCGGGGGATGCTCACTTGCGTAGGTTTGTGTGGATGACGCGCTATAAGGTTGTGTTGCGCACACAGCTATGCTCCGCGCACCTGGGCAGGCCTGCCGTCCTGCAGAAGAACAGAGGTTCCCACCAGGAAGCGCGTGGGCCGGTTCTGGCTGCCGCTCCGCTCCAGCCTCAGAGCCAGGGTCCCATCTGGGCCAACAGGCAGACTTGGAGCGGGTGCAGCCGCAACGAGCTCTGTGATTCCCCTCCAAAGGCAGATGCTCCCCCCTCAGCCGGGGGGGGGGGGGGGCTCGCCCCACAGATGTTCCCAATGTCACTGGCACACGGACAGAGGGAACCGTGGCTCACATGTGTTCCCCGATGGCGATGGCAGACCCCTTCCTGGCCGGGCGCGCCACACGCCCACCTCCGAGCTGCTGGGGAGACTAGGAAGTCTCGGAGCGTGCCCACACCTGGGAAGACTCTTTCATCTCGTTTTCCTCTGGTTCCCCCTCTTCTCCGCCTTCCCGGAACCTGCTCCCCTTTCTCCAGCGTGTTTCTCACGCGGCCACCCAGGAGTGGGCCGTGTCCGCCAGGCCGGCCTGGCCCAGTTAGTTAGCATCACGGTCCCACTTCCCTCCGCACACAGGCTGAAGTCCGCGGTGCACGCGTGTAAGTCTCTGAGGACACACACCCCGGGCCCTGGGTGCTTCGCTGCCAGAGGCGTGACTCCACCCGGGAGAGCGGAGGCTGAACCCACCCAGCGTCAGGCCGCGCTGGAAGCTGAGCTCACTGAGCTCGCGCCTGGGGCCACAGAACGCGGGTTTTCAGGACAAGGAGCCCACGGTGGGGCGGGGGGAGAGCAGGGAGCCAGGGTCACCCGTGCAGCTGCCAGGCTGTGACCCTCACCTGTCCCAGGGCTGCCCCTGGCCGTCGGGAACGGAGCCCCTGGAGCTGTGGCGTGCACACCTGGCCAGCTGTGCACAGCTGCACGGGCATGACAGAGGCCTGGGCTTGGACCCTCACAGAGAGGAAAGGGGGAACAGGAAAACGGCAGCTTTCTTCCTCCTCTGCTTCCACTACAAACACCGCCGCTAGTTCTCAGAGGTGCCGAGTGCGCCCCAGTGAGAGCTTCTATTGGAAAGGCTGCTGTCTCCCACCGTCACCGCTGGGGACGTCTGCGATGTTGAAATCCGGTAGCAGAGTTTAATAGCTGAGTTGTCACCCCAAAATTATGATTTTCCATTTTGGATTGGTCTGGAATGAATATTAGCGATATTTTCTTCCCGAGTTACAGTGTAATCGCTAGAAACTGTAATTACTCAGAAGAAAATGCAGTAATATCATCAGGCCATCTCTATGTCACTATTAGATTCTTCCTGGACCAGTGTCACAGGAGCTAATCACGATATAAAATGGAAACGAGCTGAGATGAACCAGAATAAAACATGAAAAAATAGGATTTTACAGCTGGTATAGGAAACCTACTGATTTTTGTCTACTTGGGAAGAAATAGAATGAGTTTTGTGACATGTAAACATGCTGTGTGAGTTGCTACAGAGATAAATTTTTTTTCAAAAAACAAGCCTCTATTACACGTTAACCTGAGTATCTTTAAAGCACTGTTTTAATCTTCACAAGATGCTGTAAAGTAGTTTTTACTGTGAGACCACCTACAAAGGAGGGAACTGAAGCTTAGGACTGTGAGCAGCACGCCGAGTCCCCATAGGAAGACTCCGGCCTGGGGTGAAATCCCACCTGTGCCAACCCCACACCTGCGCTGGAGTCACAGCCCACAGGGCCCTGAAGACGTGCCCGTTGCTGCATTAGAAGTTTATCAAATGAGAGCTATGACTATGAGAGCGGGGCCGACCCTTGGGAACCGTGTAACAACCCTCGGTGATCTCCTCTTCCCGCGGACACTTGCGTGTGCTCTGTGCTGCTCACGGCCGCTGACCGCCTCCCAGGGGAGGCCCGGCCCTGTGCACGGTCAGGTGCGTGGCACATACTAGTACGTCAGAGTGACGAGGCCTGGAAGCAGGCCGGGGGCCCCCTGGGCAGAGGGTTTGGGGGTCTGCGTGTGAGGACCAGGATCGTATTCTAGAGGGCGGCAGCTTGCACAGCGAGGGGAGGTGCAGCGTGGGCGGGTCCCCTAAAAGTGGGGACGCAGCGGAGGCTCCGTGGCCACGGCTGGGTCAGGGGTGCTGGGCCGCCTCGGACAGCCTCGGGGTCACTCATCTCCCCTTTCTCTCCGTCACTGTCCGAGGCTGTGCTCCGGGGACGCACTGAGAATCAACCCTTCTTTCAGAAACTGAAGATTTCGATGGAAGTTTTCAAGGCATTTAAGACGCATCAGGCTCTCTCTCTGTGCCTGATGGGGTTTTTATACGTTGATGTCCACAGCTGTTAATGCTTCTGCTTAGAAACATGTGATTTGACAAAGAACATTTTAGTCTTGTTTCATCTGCTCTCAGAATGGGACGTACAATGACGTCCACATTCCTGGAACACTGTGACCTTGAGCTGTTTGTTTCGTCCTTGGCGACACGAGAAGGTCCGCGTGGGCCTGCCGCCTGCCAGTCCCCTCTGCGCCTCCCCACCCCCTCACGTGGGGGGCTGAGCTGGGTCTGACGTGTTCGCCCTTAGCGATCCGGGTATTTTGTGGAAGAGCCACACTCTAGGGGCCAAAGAGCCGCATGTGGCTCGTGAGCCGCAGTTTGACCACCACGGCCCTAGCACATTCTAGGTTGTCACTGAATAAGGCAAGCACCTCAATTCTTGGCATCAATCGCATTTTTTTCCTGCCGCCACGAGTGGGCCACTTGGACTCTGTCTTCTTGTGGCTCCCACTGAGGTCTTGTAACCGGAAACCCCCGTTGGGCTCGGGGTGCCTGTCGGTCGCTGTGTCCAATAAGGAAGGCAGGGTTGACCCAGATAAGGCGTTTGCTGAGAAGGCCAGCCAACCAAGAAGACAGGGCGCTTACAGGCATCAGATCCTATCTCAAAGCAGGTGCAGGAGACAGGATTATAAAGGGGAAGGGGCTGGGTGAGGAATGCAGCTACGTGCAGGCCTGGGGTCTGAGGATGTCAACTATCATCCTCAGGCATCAGGCAATGAGATGATGTGGATGAGATGATGTGGATGAGATGATGTGGATGAGATGATGTGGATGAGATGATGTGGATGAGATGATGTTTTGATTCCTGGTGGGTTGGCCTGACAATGCTTATCGGTTCTGTTTGCTGGATTCACAGCTGAGTCACCTCCTCAATCGCTTCGAACAGGCCTTGAAAAGGAAACTTTAGAAAAACGTAACCCCCTATTCACATAAGTATATGTGTTCTGAGATTTAAAATATTATGATTACTTTCAGATTAATTCAGATTATAAGTCCCCCCTATCATTATCTTCTGTGGCTTTGACGGCCGGTACTCAGGGCCATATTTTAAAAGGCGTTTACCTGGCAAGCTGTCTCTCTCTGGTTAAATACTGACCCTACCAGCAGCACGTATGACGCAGTGTCATAACACATGCCTTGCCCGCCCACAGGAGAAGGGACGGAGCGTTCCTCTCGGGCACGGCTGCCCCTGGCCGCACGGGGCCTCCCAGAGGGCGGGCACCTGCCAGCGCCGAGAGCAGCACCTGCCACCTCCTGCCTCGGGGGGTCTCGGCAGGCACCTGTGGGCAGCTCACCAAGAGACCATTTCTGCTTTACCAGCCCAGAGGTTTACGCTAACCCTCAGCCAGGAGAGAGGTGGGCTGTTTATTTTCAATCTGAAACGTCTTTCTGCTGTTTTCACAGGTTTCTCCTCAGAAAAGAAAGGTGACCAGTAGCCCGAGGAGCGTGGACGCAGGGAGAGCCGGGCAGGGTGTCGCTGCCTGTGACAGTGGCTCGCGTCCGCCAGCTGCCCCGTCACCTGCCCCGCCGCCGTGTGACGCCTGGGCCCGGGCAGAGGAAAAGGCTCTGACGGCTGAGATCCCGTGGGGTCTGCGAGGCCAGGTGGCACGGCCCACACACCGCCGTGCCCGCGGCACAGACTGGCAGGCGGATGGTGCGCCACTCCCTGAGACCCCAGCACATGCCATGGGGAGCACGGGGCGGCTCCGTGATCCCGGCAACCCCCCGCTGGTGCGAGGTTGTATTTGACGGGAACACACGTTCCCCGGGGAAAGTGTCCGCTGGTACAGGTCGGCTCTGAGGGTTTTTCGGGGGCCCAGCCTGCAGGCCGTTCAGCCGGCCCTCACTCCGGCCCTCACTCCTGGCCTCAGAGACCCAAAGGCAGGACCGAGGAGGTGTAGATCCTTGTGGGAACCACGTGAGTGCTTCGACCTGAATAAAATGATAAGCTTGCCACTTTTCCTTCCTCGAGGTGCGGAGAACGGGGCGCCGCCTTCGTGGGGGCGGCGAGACCGTGGGGGAGTCCTGGCGTGAGTGGCACCACTGGCTGCGCCCCGTGTGCGCCCAGAGGCAGCTCGGAGACCTGGGGTTTGCGGTTAAATGTGTGGTTTCCTTTCCTGTGGATTCGAGTGGCTGTTAATGAAAAGCATAACCCCGGCTTCTCACGCCAATTAAAGTGCAAAGCAAAGGCGTCCCCGCTGCACGGTAACTTGGCATCGCACTCGGCTGCACGGCGGCGTGCCGAGGGCTGACGGTTAAGCGACTTTAGAGTCTTCCGCTCACGCATCTGCTGAGGCTTCTGCGGGGACCCCTGGACCCTCTGGGGGGTGGGACCCGTGGTGGCGGGGCCACTAGAAGCACCTGGAAAACCAGGCCATCGGCCGAAGCGGCAGCCGCAGGAAACCACAGACCCCGTGCCGAGATGATATAGCGTCCACATCCAGAAACCCGCTGCTTGATTCCAGCACAAGTGCTTGGGGTGTTTTTTCCAGTTTCTGGAAATACTTGAGGGGTCGTGTACAGGAAGGTGTCGAGCCTGGACAGTCCACTACATCCAGCCTCGTCTTCCGCTCTCGAACACAAGGCTTGAGAAGGAACTGTCCTTCGAATTCTCTAGAGCAGCGGTTCTCAACCTGTGGGTCGCGACCCCTTTCGTGGTCAAACGACCCTTTCACAGGGGTCCCTAAGACCATCCTGCCTATCAGATATTTACATTACGATTCATAACAGTAGCAGCATTACAGTTATGAAGTAGCAACGAAAATAATTTTATGATTGGGTCACAACATGAGGAACTGTATTTAAAGGGCCAGAAGGTGGAGAACCACTGCTCTAGAGCCTTTTTTGTTTGTTTGCTTGTTTGTTTTTGCTACTATTTATTGAGGCGAGTCATGCTTGAACCGCACTTCAGTATAAGTGAGTCGGGACAACAGAACTCACAAGCCAGCTGCACTGACATGTGGCATTTTTCAAAAATTCCCATTCTCCCCGATGAGTGAAAAAGCCATGTAACATCCACGTGTAGGGGTGGGAGGTTTCCCACGGAGGTGCGCCCAGCGGAGTAAGATCTGACGGCACCTGCCCCCCCGCCGAGGCCCGCGTCCCCCTGCACCCTGCACCGGCGCCTCCCTCCCTCCCTCCGCTGCTCTCTCCACCCGCAGTGCCTGCCCCGCCCCGGGGAGACCCTCGCCCAGCGCTGCTCTTCTAGGAGGTTCCGCCAGCAAACAGACCTGGGCCAAGTGTGCTCTCCAGGCTCCCGATGGGAACCCCGGGGACAGGGGAACACGGCGACGCCATGGCGACGCCGACGCTGGGCCCCCAGACACTGAGCCCCGCCTCCCCTGCAGGAGGGTGTCTCAGGTGAACCCGCACCTGACACAGCATCAGGACGGAGTGAGCGTCCGAGACAGTGGTTGCTGACAGAACACGGAACATGTGTGTCATCCTCACGGGGACGCTGCGGGGAGCAGACGCCCCTCCTCCTTCCTCGAGAACAAACGTGCTCCCACGGCCGCGCTCCCCTCAGAGCTGACCCCCAGCCCCAGGCCGCCTGCCAGTTCTCGATGGGGGGGTGAGTGAGGTGCAGGGCGGGCACAGCAGGCGGACAGGTGTGTGTGCAAGACAGAACACGCTTGTCTTACTTCTACTAGTGACTCTATTACCGTCCACACGCACACCTGTACCCCGGCTTCTGGCCACGCCTGTGTAACAGGATCTGACACGATCAGATGCGGCCCACGAAAGGCCACGCTGGCAGCCTGACACCGTGGGACCCTGGGTTAGCGGGCAGCACATGCTCGTGGACTTTACAGTGGAAAACACTGGAACAAGACACAGAATGCAGTTCTCCACTTGCCTTTCCCCCTCATCTGGCAAAGCCCCTTCAGAGAGGTGTGAATGGGGCAACCTCTGGACAAGTTCCACTGGAATAACACCCCTCAGGCCCCTTCTAGTCCTAACTTCTCCTCCAGGAAGTGCTGCCTTGACTGTAACTGGTGATTTACATCGAATGGGGTGTTAATCAATAAGCCATCGGAACAGAACCCCTTTGGGGTCTGCAAATCGGGGGAGGGTGCTCAGGGAAGTCAGGCCCCGGCCCTGTAAACCTTGGGTTGCTCTGCAGCGAATGTTAACTCAGACAGAGAGCGGCGCCTCGGTGAGGAATCAAGGCCGAATCCCGACACCCTCTGTGGGGAGCGGCTACAGCGTTTGGACAGGTTCAAGCCTGGGACTGAGGAGAGGGCACAGTCCTCTCGTTGCCACGTGCAAGTCCCCGCTTGGAGGGCAGAGCCTTCCCAGCACAATTATAGCCAACAGCTGTAGCTATGAGCTTGAACCTATGGTCCAGTGGCTCTCAACCTTGGCTGCACATTAGATTAACTTGGGAATCTTTTTAAAATCCTGATTTCTGGGCCTCATCCTCCGGAAATTCTTTGTTTACTAATGTTGTGGCCCCACCCCATAACAAAGAAACAGAATTTCCGGAGGATGAGGCCCAGAAATCAGGATTTTAAAAAGATTCCCAGGCGATTCTAGTGTGCAGCCAAGGTTGAGAACCACTGCGGTAGTCCGAACACGTGGCCCCATGTGCCTGAGTGATAGAGTTCAGGTGCATGTAGTTGAGTGAGGTTGAAACTCACGAGAATGTTGTAAACATCTTGATCACGCCCCTACTTTGCCTCGTGGCATCTGCTATAAAATAAAGACACGCCTTGTGGGCGCTGGTGCCGTCCATCAGAGGGGCAGCGTCCCACCAAGACCCAGCTTTCATTCTCTTGTCTGTCTTTTCTAAGCCTTTCACCGCCCCCACTCAGGGTCACTGAACCAGGCTGAGCTGGCATGAGTATGCCATGGCCATGCCAGCTCCCCACAACCTTCCCCATTTCCTGTGAACCCGTAGCTCCCGGTCGACTGCCCCCTTGTACACACACCCGACCTCTCATCTTGATCAGAGAGCTGCCAGTGTTAGAAATGACTTTGATTGACAGAAATGGACTGTGTGTGTCTTGAGGGCCGACATGAAAGAAATCACGGCACCTCCTGGTCTCCCCGTGTCTAAGGGGACCCCTCCCAGCTGGGGGGCCTGTAAGCGAGGGCGCCTTTATTCCCAGGGCAGTCCCTGGACTTCCAATGTCGCTGAAGCATCACCTTCCTTCTATAAACCACAGGAATCAACCAGCCAAAACTGGGCAATTTAAATGGAGCAAAATATTACAATACTCAAGTGTTCTAACAAAATTTTATGCTTTTTTTTTTTTTTAACAAGAATGTATTATTTCGGTAATGGGCAACACCTTCCATTTCCCCCCAAAGGACAGCTGCCCTTTACTTTTATATGATTCCCAGCGTCTGGCTGGTGTCTGTGTCCCTGCGCGCGGCCCCGTGAGCGCGGCCTCACTCTGCGAACAGGACGGGCCTCTCCAGGCAGCACGGCTGGACCAGAGCAGTGATGCCGGGAACAGAAGGGCGTCCTGGAGCCGCCCTGCCTCTCAAGCGCTGGTCACGGCGGCAGCAGAGTCCCCGTGGGCCACGCGCCCGCAGGCCCCGGCACACGTCCCGCAGGCCTGAGTCTTGGCTGTAGCGATGCTCCCGCCAGGCGTTCAGTGCCACGTCTGCCAGCCTCGGGCTGTGGCTCACGGGGAGCCGCCATTTGGGACTTTGAAGCGGTCTGTGTACTGTTGGGCTACACCCAAGTCCCCTTACTGCTGGAAACACCAAGTGGGGCGCAAAGGCGTGTGTCGGAAACATCTGGCGCGCCAACAAGCTGCCTGCTGAGCCACCCATTCACCACCTACGACCTCACACCCACGCGGAACTGGAAACGTGGCCTCCATGTGGAAGAGGCACAGTTCAGCACGTCAGCCGTGTTGCAGAAGCGAACCCCGTGGCCTAGTTGTTACCGGGTGGATTCCCAACAGAACACTCCTCCAAGGAGAGCGGATTTAAACACTTCCAGCGAGGAGGCCGACCGTCAGGTTCCCAGCGTTTGCTGCTGGACATGGTTCTCCGGGGATGGGAACTGGCACAGATTCCTCAAGCGGGAACTTTTCATTCCAGCATGGCTACCCATTTCCCGTGGTTCCGAGGTTATGGAACGCCTCACATTCCCCAAATTCTCTTTTTTGTCTTTATTTTGTTTTTAACTTTTTCCCATTACAGCATAGGGGTTCGACATACTTTACCGGGTGTCGCCCCTGAAATTTCCAGTACATACCTGGCTCCATGCATCAGTATTACAATACTAGTGGCCCGGTGCAAGAAATTCCTGCACGGGGGAGGGAGTGTCCCTCAGCCCGGCCCGAACCCTCTCCAATCTGGGACCCCTTGGGGACATCCCTCTAGAAATCCGGGACCACTGGCTCCTAACCACTCACCTGCCTGCCTGCTTGATCGCTCCTAACCACTCTGCCTGCCATCTTGCTCACCCCCAACTTCCCCTCCCAGCCTTCTCGCCCCCAACTGCCCCCCTGCTGGCCTGCTTGCCCCCAACTGCCTACCCTGCTGGTCTGATCACCCCCAACTGCCTCCCACTGCTGACCTGCTTGCCCCAACTGCCCCCCCTGCCAGCCTGATCACCCCCAACTACCCTCTCCTCCTGGCTTGATCGCCCCTAACTGCCTCTGCCTCGGCCCTGCCACCATGGCTTTGTCCGGAAGGACATCTGAAAGGTCTTCTGGAAGGTCTCCCAGTCTAATTAGCATATTTCCTTTATTAGTATAGATTATCAACTATACTCCCTGTGCTGTACTTCACATCCCAGTGACTATCCTGTGACTGCGAACCTGGCTGCTCAATCCCTCCACCTCTCACCACCCCCACCCTATGGCAGCCACCAGTCTGTGCCTACGAGTCTGTGTTGTTCATTAGATTCCACATGTGAGTGAGATCACACATATTTGTCTTTCTCTGACATATTTCACGTCCCTGACCACATGTCTGTGATTCCCCGAATGAATATTC